CAAACACCTGGGTATTTTCCAGGTGGGTGTGTTCCACTTGTGTTTGGTACTTTCTAACAGTGTGACACTGAGAAGGTAAAAATCACACCAAAAATGTAGAAGTGTATTTATCAGCTATCATCTCAATAGCATTTATTTTAGTTTTTATGCAGCTAATTCTGAAAGTGTCTGAGCATATGATTAAGCACAGCAGGCAGCTGCCTGAGGAGACTTGGTAACTACAGGACAGACCTCCCCCACAGACGGGCGCTCCAGTCACGTTGAGAGGCAGGGCTGCGAAGGCACGTGAGTAAAGTGTGTACTGTCCCTGAAGAGAGGAGTTAGTTTAAAATCAATAGTCTATGAGCTGTTAATATCTTGGAACAAAAGAGTTTATCCAATTACTTATTAGGAGAATAGGCATGTAGGACAGAGGTGGAACCCAAGACAGATAAATTCTGATAAAAGTAAAAAAGCAAAGTCCAAAACAACTTGGAGAAGTGGGACGCTACAGTGGGGATGCCAGGCAGTCTGGAAGCAGAGCTAAACACAACCAGACTTAGATTCTGGAAGCAAACGGAAAAGCACCAAGACACACTCGGCCTGCTGTACACACTTGCCCTGCAATTGCCCGGATGCCATGGCCTTCATCAGGGAGGAGAACTTCTCCCTACTCTGGGAAGTACACTTGCCAGTTGTTAACTGGTCTTTAAAATGTTATACACCATGGTTAACTAAAAATTAATCTAAATATCTTCAAAACAGAGTTATCATTTGGGTCACAAAATGCTAATGTATTTCAAGGGCCTGATAGGATAAATATTGTACCAGTATCAATAGAAGGGAGGTCTAAAATCATTTGCACGATTCTACCTATTATTGTCATGATAAAGTACTGCCCCCATTGTAGTTAAAGCTTCAAAGTAAATGAAGTAAATTTACCTTTTAGCTATAGATTTTGCATTAAGTACTACCTAATTTCTGTTAATGTTTAAATAAATATATATGTTTATAATAATAGTTCCAAGAAGAATTATGTTAACTCATACAAGAATTTGGACTATTCATGGTCATTACTGAACAAGTTTAAAAACTATGTAAATATTGCTCACATAATTAGGTTAAACACTTACTGTGAATTAAGAATTAATTAATTCGTAATTCCATTTGGAATAAAGAAAGTGTTGAAAAGTTTTTTCATTGGAAAATGCCACTGACAGTGTTTCGGGTCATAACCAGTATAGTAGTCTACCCCTTATCTGTGAGAAAGATGTTTCCAGACCCCCAGTGATGTCTGACACTGTGGATTGTATTAAACCATATATATATATAAATGAAACTGTGGCAAACAAATTTGTGAATAAGGAGGTACTACTGCATATGTCTAGAGTAGCATTGTACCTTTTAAATTACCACAATTCCCGTTAAATTCAAACAAGAAGTATATATTGACATTTACCAAGAACAATTAAACATTCTTCTAGGAATTACAGAAACTGTAGAGACAGGAACACGTTGGCTTTTCTCAGTATGTTTACAGTCTAAACAGGTAATAAAACATACATAGTGAACCAGATCATGAGGTAAATCATTTATATCTATAAAAATGGCGGGATACAGACATGCTTGACAGATAGGTGGCACCTCTGATGGGCACTGAATACTGACCAGGGTGCTGGTAGAGGTTGATGATATGAGTCCATTCCAGATCAAGGGAATGAGCATACAGATATTAGGTGTAATCATCTAATAATATATAGTCCAATTAGTAGGAGTGTGAGGTACAGTGCAGTTGAAGAAGTAGTTATTATTATAAGCATTTTTAAAGAAAATATCAAATAGAACATTATTAAAATTTGTATGGAACCATAAAAGACCCTGAATAATCAAAGGAATCATGAGAAAAAAAAGCCAGAGGCATCATGCTTTTTCATTTCAAACTATATTACAAAGCTATAGTAATCAAAATAGCATGTTATTGTCATTAAAACAGACTCATAGATCAATGCAACCAAATAGAAACTCCAGAAATCATCTCACTCATATATGATCAACTAGTTTATTGCAGAGGAGCCAAAAATGTTCTTCAGTATTCTTCAGTGGGGAAGACTCTCTTCAATAAGCGGTATTGGGAAAACTGGACAGTAACATGGCAAAGAATGAAACTGGACCACTATGTTACACCACAGACAAAAATGAACTCAGAATGGATTGAAGTCTTGAATGTAAGACTCCAAAATCATAAAACTAGAAGAAGAGACAGGCAGTAAGCTCTTTGACATTTGTCTTGGCAATTATTTTTTGAATTTGCACCAAAAGCAAAGGCAACAAAAGGGAAAATCAACAAATGGGACTACATCTAACTAAAAAGTTTTTGCACAACAAAAGAAACCATCAACAAAATGAAAAGACAACCCACTGAATGGGAGAACATATCTGCTAGTGATACATCTGATAAGGGAGTAATATTCAAAATTTATGAAGAAGTCATACAACTCAACGCCAACAGAAAACCAAGTGTACAAAGGACCTGCCTCTCCATAAAGGACATACAAATGACCCATAGACATATGAAAAGATGCTCAAATTCACAAATTAAAACCACAGTGATGTACCATCTCACACCTTCCAGAATGGCCATCATTAATAAAACAAACCACAGGTGCTGGCAAGGATGTGGAGAAAGGGGAACCCTTGTGCACTCTGGGTGGGAATGCAGCCTGGTGCAGCCACTGTGGAAAGCAGTATGGAGGTTTCTCAAAAAAATTAAAAATGGAACCAACCGCTTTATGACCTAGAAATCCCACTTCTGGGTATATATCCAAAGAAACTCAAAACATTAATCCAAAGGAATACATATATCCTTAAGCAACCAATGTGCCCATCAGTAAACAAATGGATCAAAAAGAGGTACATATATATAATGGAATATTACTTGGCCATAAAAATGAACAAAACAATTGTAACAGCATGGATGGACCTACAGGGTATATGCTAAGGAAATAAGTCAGAGAAAGACAAATACCATATGGCTTCACTTATATGTGGAATCTAAAGAACAATATAAACAAATAAATAAAACAGAGACTTACAGACACAGAAAAGACTGATGGTTGCCAGAGGGGTGAGGGGTAGGGGACTGGGTGAAAAAACTGAAGGGCTTAAGAAGTACCAATTGGTAGTTACAGAACAGTCATGGGGATGTAAAATGCAACTTAGGGATTACAGTCAATAATATTGTAATAACTGTGTATGATGCCAGTTGGGTACTAGAAATAATAGGGGTGGAACACTCTGTACGTGACTGTGTAACCATTATGCTGTACACCTGAAACTAATGCAACATAATATTAAATGTAAACTCTAATTGAAGAAAAATCTTTTCAGCGCCTATTGACATGTTCTACAGTTTTTCAACTTAAATTTGTTGATATGTTGAATTGCATTGATAGAATTCTTATTATGTAATCACCTAAAAAAAAAAAAACCTCTACTTGATTATATTGTTGGATTAAGTATAATTGTTTGGCATCCTGTGTCTATATTCATAAACTTGGAAATCAATATACTCACAAATGAGACTGATCTACAGTTTTCTGTTTTTGTATTTTTATTAAAGTTGAAAAAAAAGTACTAGTTATCTGCATATATTTGACTCTATTAGACCACCTTGTTGAATACATTCCTCTGGCTCTACAAGAATGTTTCTCACCCTGGCTGGGGTGGCTCAGTTGGCTGGAATGTCACCCCACAAACTGAAACATCTGAGCTTTGATTTCCCGGTCAGGGCACATGCCTAGGTTGCAGGTTCCATCCCCAGTCAGAGCACATACAAGAGGCAACCAACTGATGTTTCTCTCCTTCTCTCTCTCTCTTTCCCTTCCCCTGTCTCTAAAGTCAATAAGCACATCCTCCAGTGAGTATAAATAAATAAGCGAATGAGTGAGTGAGTGAATGTTTCTTTGTTCATGTATTATCACAGTGGATAGATTTGGTGCATGTTTTCAACACATTTCTTAAAAAGCAAATGATAGAGTCAGTTTATGCCTTTACACTGATTCCTATATTCCCTCATGTTCTGCTTTTCGTTGCCCATCCTTTAACTCGTCCTCACTTTCAGCCCTCTTGATGAAAAAACTTCTACAAGATACATTTTCCTTATGACCATGTATCTGATTTCACAGTTTAACCCTATTACTTCCCAACTTGTGTAGACTCAGGATGCGATCACCTCTGGTCGCTTGCAGATCATACATAACTCTTAACTGCTCCAAGACTGCGTTGTATAGTGAAACATGCTCCTAAAATTCTTTTCCTAAAAATCATTCTCTTATCAGCAGCAGCAGTATCATTAATTGGAATTCTTTGATGAAATGTTGAAATTACACCCAGGTCTTGGTATGTGTAAGACTCTATGCCAAGTATTCTCAGAATCTGCTGAGTAATGAATTGTAGCAATAATGCAGAGAAAGAACCTGGAGCTTTGTAAACCATCAGGAGAAAAAAGTAATTCACAATTGGAAAGTTTTTGAAGAAAAGAAATGCTCTCCGTTGCTCTCTCCCTTCTCCCATCCCAAAGGAACAGGAAGCAGAAGGTGTTAAGTCAAATACAGTTGACCCTTGAACAGCATGTGTTTGAACTGTGTGGGTCCGCTTACACACAGATTGTTTTTCATTAAATACCTGTACTGTTTCCTGTCTATGGCTGGGAGTGGAGGGCTGACTTTATGCATTAATCTATACCATTTTACACAGGGAACTTGAGCTCTTGCAGATTTTGTACCCACTCTGTGTCCTGAGTCCAATCCCCTTGGATACCAAGGGACAACTTAAGTTTTAGGGGAGACACAAGTTACATGTGCATTTTCAACTGTATAGGGAATGTCAGTTCCCTAACTCCTACATTGTTCAAGGGTCAACTGCATTTATTTTTATCTGAAAATGTAATCTCTTTAGTTGGCTTTTTTCTGTACTGAGCTATAACCAATATTCTGTTAAAGAAGTTTGTTGTTTATTTGTAGGAGCAAGCCAGTTATGATGTGACACGCTATGAAAACATTTTCTCCCTCTTCTGGGTTCTGGAGCAGCTTCTTCAAAAGGAAAATGAAGATGGCAACACTTCAGATACAGGGCATGATAACCGGGAAATCCAGAGATTTCTTCAGAAGCATGATGAAGCTATTTGCCAACTCTCTGATACATTTCCTTTACTTACTTTTTATTTATGGAGATTAGGCATTCTCTTGAACTCCATCAAAATAAAAACTGTTGAAAATAACTCACTTCCTTAGCAGTTTACCAAATATCAGAAGCATATTAAAATTGAATTTATCAAGATCTTCTGCTTAAAAGATTTTCAAAACTATTTTTAAATGAGGATTTTAAAGGGGTCTCTAAATACAATCATAAATTAAATTTAATAGTATTCACCTGTGTATAAGAGATTATGGGTCATATTTCTATACTATAATCAGCCAGTATCAGCCTTATTCCCATGTAACTGTACCTTAAAATACAGGTCCTCAGTATATATAGGTCTAGTACTGTCTGAAATGGACCATTAATTGTGTATATCATAAAAGATATGTATATTTTAAAATATTTCCATGTAATAAATACTAAAAGGTAATGGAAAAGATGTTAAAAAGTTTTATTGCTTTATAGTATTTAAAAATAAGTGTTGTAAATTAGATTTTTAGAACTTTTTTCTTAATAGTTTCACTTACATAGTCTATCATCTTAGGACTCATGTAGGAGGAGGAAAATATTTAACATCGTAAAGGTAATTACCTTTAACTTTATATAATCAACATATCTGTCAAGTCCTTTTGCAAGTACTAATTAGTTGTTTAAGTGTTCTGTTTGTTTTTTCAAAAAACAGTTTTTGATTCTGTTGATTATATGTAATATTCCTGTTATTGTTAAAGTGTAATTAAGTCATGTGTAATAAGTCATTAAGGAACTTTTCACAAATTCTTACATCTATCTAGAGATATGCTTCATACTTACTAAAAGTATATTCATACTTTACTAAAATATTGGCTGAATTTTCCAGTTATACTGTTTCATTGACTTTATTTCAATTATTAAAATCATACTCCACTAGCTTAATGAGCACACCTAATATACTTTCCTGTAGTACAATTTAGATCACAACACACACAAATTTGCTTCATTAATTATGCATGATAATTGTTTCATAAGTTAATTAGCATTCCCAAATGCCATTGGGTTTTTTTGCATGTAAAACCGTATCATTATCTGTCAGTTATTTCTGGAGTTATTTCTAGCTTTCCAGAGAAGATAAAGCCTTTTTTATAATACTGAGACTCAATGTATCTATCAGTCAGCAACTGTTAATCTCAAAATCTCAGTGAGGTGGAACAAGAATTACTTCTCAGATGTGTATGCCTCACGTGGGGACCGGCTCCTCTGAACTGGGCTGTGCTGGAAGCTCTGCTCCACGTGTAGATCCCACTGGGCTGGGCTGGGCTCCTGCCATGAACCAGGTCTCAGTCTCTCCCAAATGTGCGTGGTGTGAAGCCGGGTGGAGGGGGAGAAGCTACCCAGGGGAAGCTCTTCTGTGGTGATGGCAGAGCAGCAGGAGGGAAAGGGCTGAGATGTCCCACTAATTTCTGCCCACACACATTGGCCAGAACACATCAAACAGTCAAGGCCAGAGAAAAGGGATGGGAAAATATCCTCCACCTTGCATGGAAAAACTTGCAAGTTATATAGCAAAGGGCCTGGATGTAGGAGAGAGTGGAGAATCAGGGCAAGTAATTTACTCCACCACACACAGCGCATGAGCACAAAAAGGATATTCCAGATCCTGGATTAAGAGAAACTGTCCTAATATTTGATTCCTGGGATTTGTACAAATCATTTCATTTAATGACACTACACAAAATCCACTGGCCATGACACCTCCCCACTCTCTCTCCCCCATATGATCAGACAAGGTCAAGGTTGGTAAATGTGCGGGCAACCACAGTGGCCCTCTTCCCACTGCAGGCAGCTCCCGTCTTGAGCACCAGAAGCCTTTTATAACTAGAACAGATTTCTTAATTCCAGTAGCCTTCAAAGCTTTGCAGTTTGAAAACTGGCCTAGGAAATATATTGATCATAGAATCACAGACAAGTGTTGGCAGCCACTGTTAATGTGTATAATGGACATATATTTTATTTCTATTTGGTAGTATTTTTAGGTAAACACTAAACTTCAGTCAATTATATGACTCCTAATCTTTCATATTGTGTGTTTTGATCTCTAACAGTGTTAACTGCAGTAAATTTAGTGTTGAGGTCTAAATGTCCTGCTGGTGAAGAAAAAAGAGATAAAATAAGACATTTTTAACTATGTTTCAATAAAGCAGTGAAAAATAAAGAATGAATGAATGAATGAATGAATGAATTCTTAAAACTTGAATTAAGAATATTTTATCAATTAAGATTTGATTAATGCATGACTATAATTAAAACTTTGGGGATAAGAATAATGGAGACAGCAGAAATTGAGCAAAGCTAAAACTGGATTAGGATAGTATAGGAAATAAAAAGGAGCATAGAACAGCCCTAGAATGGTGGAAATAATAAAAATCATACGTGCTATCACTCATATAGTGTTTATGTTATGTATTCATAAATATATAACTATAACATGCATTTATTATATGTAAATATTACATATTTTGCATATTACACTATTGATTATATATTACATGTATAAAAACATATATTAATAAGTAGATGTCAGGCACTGATCTAACCTTTTTGTATATATTAATTCATTTGATTCTCCCAGAAACCCTATGTGATAGGTAACATTAGTACCTCCATTTTAGAGATGAGGTGCTCAGGCTAAGGAATGTTGAACAGCTTGCCAAGTTCACACACCCAGGAAGACTGTGGTTTTGCCACCAGAGTTCTATCTTCCCAGACCACACCCTTAATTGCTGTGCCTCACCGCCTGTTCAGTGCAAACTGGCATTTCATGAAACTCTTGAAAATACCACATCTTTGAGATTGTCACTGAAGCCTTCTATGCCCTCAACCATAAATCTTGTAGTATGGCAGTTCAGCATTAGCTTATTTTGGATTCTTCAACCCCTGCAAAGCAGCTGTCCTGTCTCCTACCATCTCTGAGCTACAGCATATTTGCCCTATTCTGAATTGGACAGCATTTTATCACAGTCAAAACATCTTCAAATATTAATGTTCTAAGAAATGCAAAACTCACTCTACAGGTGTGGCGGGTGGACTGGCAGGCTGCAGTGCTCAGCCCAGTGGGGAGGGGAAACGTGCGATTGTTTTGTGCTTGGCTCTGCAATAGATACTGGTGATATTTTATGCAGTCCTTTCACAAACTATTGTACTTTTCATTCGTCTTTGTTGGCATTCTATAGGTAGAACAGTGTATTCCTAGAGAGTCAAGGAAAATAAAACCATTCACATTTACAGAACTATATGTACATTCATAGATTTTTTAAAATATATTGATGGCTCTGGCTTATGATAGTCTGGTTTCATTTATTCATCAAATATCAAGCACTAACTTTATGCAAATCAATTATTTGCACATATAAAGTATAAACACATAAGTTTTATATTTTATCAGATTTATAAAAGCAGAACTTTTGTTTAACAATCCCAACATAATGACCTAACAGCATCTGTAGTGTATTTTTACTAAAGGAGACAGAGTGAGAACATGAGCCTAATATTGAAAAATATAAAGGACTTTTGTTATTATTGAAAGTCAATTAATTATTTTAAAATCATTTCTGGAATTGAACAACACTAAATTTATTTAGTCAGTGCATGGACTGCTCTTTAGAACTGTCAAAATGTCACAGAGCATGACATACAGGAAATGACCTCGGCTTTTTTCGCTGTTTTTCATTTAATATGAAAATCCTCTTTAGTAGTAATAAAAATCTATTACTACTACTAAGAAGCAAAGCGTGTAAAAAGAAAGTATGAGTCTAACATTCAAGACATTGAAATAATTCATTTTATATTTCATAGACATATACTCTGAATTTGTAATATTTTCTTCTAATATTTTATCTAATTTTTCTTGTAGCTGCTTACCTTGTTGGTGCACATCTATTATATTTAAGGCAATATCAGTGTTTCATAGCCATTCCATTGGGGCATCAAGATTTACAACATTAACCTCAGCAGTCTCTGATCAATATGTAAAGCAGTGGTTCTCAAATGTGGTCTCCAGGCTGCCAGCATCAGCAACACTTGGGACCCTGTTAGAACTACGAATTCTAGGGCCTCGCCCCAGACCTACCTCAGAATCAGAAATGCCAGGATGGAGCCCAGAAATCTGTTTTATCAAGTCCTGTAGGTGAATCTGATGCCCACCAAGGTTTGAGAACCACTGCTATAATCATTGTTTTTTTACTCAACAGAACTTAATCCATATAAAATCATACAGAAAGTAGAAGTCCAGTCATCCCAAATTACTTAATGAATGATTTAACTCTCTCTGTATATGCCTTAAAATTCCAGAGGAGGATTTTGGGGAACTTAATTATTCATGATTCACTTAAAATGAGTATCTAATTTTTAAGAATATCTGTCATCCTTAACAACACTTTAGAAATTAGCATTGGTATATTTAGCTTTTAGTTCCTTCACTAAAATAATGACTCCCTATTGGTATTTTGAAAAATTATTATAATCCAAGTTTAAGCGAGATAAGTTAATTGGTTCTTTTTGCATTAGTCCTGGTATATACAGTGATGAACGTGCAGAAAGATGCAGACATGATGGTACTTTACTCTTAAGTTGAGATATTAGGTAAAACAGCATCAAATAACATCAGAATGTTCATCTTATTCCCAGAGATCTGTTTTTATACATATGGTAAATGTAGCCTACTAGCAAATATATTATTCAATCCTAGAGATGAAATTCTACCTTCTTTAAGTCCTTCTGCAAAATGGTGAGATGTAAATAAGTAATAAACAATTGCCTGTTCTCGATTCTTGTGCTTCTTTCCTGCATGTCGAGTCCCTTCCACATTACTACGAGCTCCAGAGTCACATAAGGACCGCACCCCAACAGAGTAGGGGAACAGAGCTATCTCTACTTTTAGCTTTAATGATTTAACTACTAAGACCTTTTCATGAATGCTTAATCATTTTGGGAACAATGGAAACACCACTTACCCAGCAGGGAAAAGGATGTATTTGTTCTTAATGCTCTCTCAAACACATACTCAATTCAACATTCGTTTTGTAAAAAAAAAAAAAAAATCCAAATCTCTTGACACTAAGTGTAAAGTTTGAAAACACTCTTACATTTTATCTTGTTATCTTAAAGGGGCCCTACCACAAGCAGGGCAGCCCCATTGGTGCCTTGTGGCCCCAACTGGCATCAAGGAGAGAGAGCATGACCCAACACTGCCCTGGTGTGACCCTCCCCTCCAAAAGAACTCCAGAGCCAGGGCACTCCTCCAAGAAGAGTGACCACTGGGTTTTAAAGGTTTGGCATGTCCCGTTCCACAGTGGACCGTGGCCCGGAAGTGAAGTTCACCATAGTTGACCAGGCACCTTCTCTTA